ATTTGTTTGATCAGTTACAAGGTGCTAGGTGATTTTCAATAATTGACCTGAGGTCGGGTAATCACCAAGTGAGGGTCAAAGACGAAGATATACCCAGGACAACTTTTCGAACACGATATGGTCATTTTGAGTTTGTAGTCATGTCATTCGGGCTAACGAATGCACCAACAGTTTTTATGGATATGATGAATATGGTGTTCAAGCCATTTTTAGATGTGTTCGTGATAGTATTCATAGATGATATTTTGGTGTATTCAAGATCGGAAGAGGACCATGCTAATCACCTGAGACAGGCTTTACAAATTCTTCGTGATCGTAAGTTGTATGCAAAGTTCTCTAAATGTGAGTTCTGGTTAAAATCTGTGGCATTCCTAGGTCATGTTGTATCCGATGATAGAATAAGGGTTGATAATCAGAAGATAGAAGCGGTGAAAAACTGGCCAAGACCTACAACACCTACGGAGATCCGTGGTTTCCTTGGATTGGCAGGTTATTACAGAAGGTTCGTTGAAGGATTTTGTTCCATTGTTGCACCCTTAACAAAGCTAACACACAAAGAAACCAATTTTCAGTAGAGTGATGAATGTGAAAGAAAGGGTATGCAGTCTATTGTGATGCTTCGGGGGTGGGCCTAGGATGTGTTTTGATGCAGCATGGTAAAGTAATAGCTTACGGCTCAAGGTAGCTGCCGTCACATGAGAAAAATTATCCAACTCATGATCTAGAACTAGCAGCAGTTGTATTTGCTTTGAAGATATGGCGCCACTACTTGTATGGAGTTCATGTTGACATATACACTGATCACAAGACTTTGCAATATATCTTTAAGCAAAAGGACCTAAATCTGAGGCAGCGAAGATGGCTGGAGCTATTAAAAGATTATGACATTGATATCTTGTATCATCCCAGGAAAGCAAATATAGTAGCTGATGCATTAAGTCGTAAAATAATGGCAAGCACCTATGGGCAGTCTGTGGAAAGACAAGAAATAACTAAGGATCTATGTCAACTATCTAGCTTGGGGGTTCGGCTTCTTGAATCTCCTGACAAAGGGGTTATTGTGCAAAATGCGGCAGAATCCTCATTAGTAGTAGAAGTGAAAGAGAAGCAGTACACTGATCCTATTCTATTAAAGCTTAAGGAGAATGTACAACAGGGTATAACAAAGGATTTTGACCTTATGCAAGAGGGAGTACTTCGATGTCAAACAGATTGTGTGTACCTAATGTAAATGAGTTAAGAAAGAGGATTATGATGGAACTGCATCATTCGAGATATTATGTCCATCCGGGGTCAACTAAAATGCATCATGACTTAAAATAAATGTATTGGTGGGGGGACATGAAGAAGAACATTGCGGAATTCGTGGCTCAGTGTCCAAATTGTCAACAAGTGAAAGTAGAGCACCAAAAGCCCGGAGGTTATATGCAGTGTATAGAACTTCCAATTTGGAAGTGGGAAATGATCAATATGGATTTTGTCACTGGTTTGCCTCGTTCATTTCGAAAGTTTGATTCTATATGGGTAGTTGTTGATAAACTGACCAAATCAGCGCACTTCTTACCGGTCAAGACTACTTATACAGTTGAGGAATATGCGAGGTTGTATATTAAAGAGATAGTTCGTCTACATGGAGTGCCAATCTCTATTATATATGATAGGGGAGCTCAATTAACTGCAAATTTTTGGAAGTCATTTCAGTAGAGATTAGGAACACAAGAGAATTTAAGTACAACCTTTCACCCTCAAACAAATGGTCAGGCAAAGCGTACAATTCAAACACTCGAGGATATGCTGCGAGCTTGTATATTGGACTTCAAAGGTAGTTGGGATGATCATTTGCCATCGATCGAGTTTGCATACAACAATAGCTACCATTCAAGTATTAAAATGGCACCTTATGAAGCTTTATATGGTAGAAAATGTAGATCCCCAATTGGCTGGTTCGAAAAAGGTGAAACCACCTTATTTGGGCCAGATCTTGTTCATCAAGCTATGGAAAAAGTCAAAGTGATACAGCAGCGGCTAGAAACAGCTCAAAGTCGATATAAATCATATGCGGATGTTAGAAGGAGAGGACTAGAATTTTCTATAGGGGATTGGGTGTTCTTGAAGGTGTCACCAATGAAAGGGGTAATGAGGTTTGGTAAAAAAGGAAAATTGAGTCCACGTTATATAGGGCCATATAAGATTATTCGAAGAGTTGGCCAAGTAGCCTATGAGTTAGAGCTACCACTAGAGCTTTCATCAGTTCATCCGGTGTTTCATGTCTCGATGCTTCGAAAATGCATAGGTGACCCATCTCATATTACTCCTACTGAAGATGTACAGATTACGGGACCGTGCTTCTTATATGATTAGTGTTGGTTTAAACTAGCTCGCAAGGTGATGTAACACCTTGCACGTTTCAGCATGTGTACTGCAAGTTAGCTCCGACGGAAGTATTTGAACTAGAGGTAGTAAAGTGGTAATTGGGCCAAATACACTACCACCTACTTGCAATAATTTGGCCCAAGTTGAGTAGAAGGATCAGGGAAAAATGGACAGCCAAGGCCCAATAGTCTTAAGTCCAAAAAGTCCAAAAAGTCCCAAGTGAAAAGTCCAAATAGGTGGACCACCTACTTGCATTAATTATGGCCCAAATTGACATGAATAGAGGGATAATTCGGAGTAGGGCCCAACAAGTGTTGAAGTTCCCAAAAGCCCAAGTTAAAAGGCCAAGTATGTGGGGCCAAGTAGGTGGGTCACCTTGATAACGATCAAGGAAGGAAAGGAATAAAGAAAGAAAGGATATGTGGATTAATACTCAAGTTATTGAAATTATGGGCAACAAGAAGGGACTAAAACCCTCACCTCCAAATTGACTTCAACAACCTAAATTCAACCCAAAGAAGAATAATCAAATGAAACCAAGAATCACAAAGGGGTAACACTTTGATTAATCAAACGCAAGAAGTTAACAAGCAATCCCAAGAGTTCACCCAAATTACTCACTAAGAAGATACTATAATTTGAGAGTCAACATTCAATATAGTCTAAGTCTTCCCAAAATAAAACAGACTACTATTTATACTAAAAAAATAAACAAGACACTTTTTGACAATTTTACCCTTAATGAGATAAGCGCCTTGTTTGGTTGCCTTCTTTTGTGAATTCTTGAATTCATGAAATGGTCATTTCCACACATGGCCTCTTTCCTTCTTCCTTCTCATTTTGATGTACCTTACACACATTGTATGTTTTTCTTTGGTGACCTTCAAGCTCCTCTAATGCTTCCCTTTTCTTGAACATTGCTTGTAGGCCTTGAAGATCCTTTGCTTGACTCCGTGTGAATGGTCTTGAGGGGTATATGCCACTCATGTTATTGTCATCCATGCTGCCCATGTTATCATCCTCCCCTTCTTGAAAATGATTCGTCCTCAAATCCAAAGGATCACCTACAACACAAGGAGACAAATCACTAACATTGAAAACATTATGAACATTATACTCACATGGCAGGTCAATCATGTAAGCATTGTCATTGATTCTCTTGAGTACTTTGAAGGGTCCATCCCCTCTTGGGCTTAGCTTCCCTTTTCGTACTTGTGGAAACCTCTCCTTTCGGAAATGTACCCACACCCAATCATCTGGATTGAAGATCACTTTCTTTCTCCCTTGATTCTTTCGAATGGCCACCTTTGAATTGTTCTTTTCAATGGCCTCTTTAGCATTGGCATGAATGTTCATCATCTCCTTTGCCCTTTTCTTGGCATCTAGGCTCATAACAACATCGCTAGACAAAGGAACCATGGTTAATGGAAACAAAGGTTTAAAACCATAACATCCCTCAAATGGAGACATTCCAATAGAGGAGTGGAAAGACCGATTATATGCAAATCCACTCAAGGGTAAACGGTCTTCCCAAGTAGTTGGGGTTCCTCTAATCATGCATCGAAGCATGCTTCCAAGAGTCCGGTTGACTACTTCGGTTTGTCCATCAGTTTGAGGATGGCAAGAAGTAGAGAACATAAGTTTGGTACCAAGTGTACCCCATACACTCTTCCAAAAATGACTAAGAAACTTGGAGTCCCTATCACTAACGATGGTTTGAGGGACTCCATGCAATTTAAGTACATTGATAATAAACAAAGATGCTACATGGGATGCATCATCACATTTATGGCATGGAATAAAATGAGCCATTTTAGAAAATCTATCCACTACCACAAATATACTATCATGTCCTCTTTTAGTCCTAGGAAGTCCCAACACAAAGTCCATAGAAATATCCATCCACGGACCATTTGGAGTAGGAAGAGGAGTATACTTACCTTGAGGCCTAGTCGTGGCTTTGGCTTGCTTGCATTCTAGACATTGTCCACAAATCCTCTCCACATCATGCTTCATTTTGGGCCAAAAGAACTGCTAAGAATTATTATCAAGTGTTTTTGGTACCCCAAACTGTCCCATCAAACCACCACTATGAGCCTCCTTGACAAACAACTCTCTCCATGAGCTCATGGGCACACATGCTCGGCCATCTTTGAACAAGAAACCACCAACCAATTGGTACCTATCAACTCGCTTCGCTTGACTAAGATTATCAAAAGTATCTTTGAGTCGGAATCCATAGAATAGAATCCCTTTAAGCTTTCAAACCCCATCATTCTAGAAACCAAGGTATTGACCAATACAAACCTTCGTGATAGAGCATCCGCTACCACATTTTCCTTGCCTTGCTTGTAGTTGATCACATATGGAAAGGTTTCAATGAATTCAACCCACAAGTAGTGTTGCCAATGAGCCAACACTCGCACAAGTGCATACAATTCCTTGTCATAAGTTGAGTACTTGAGTGTAGCTCCCTTTAACTTTTCACTAAAGAAAGCTAATGGTTTTCCTTCTTGCATCAACACACCACCTATACCAACACCTGAAGCATAACATTCAATTTCAAAGGCCTTGTCAAAGTTGGGTAGTTGGAGCAAGGGTGCAGAACTCAACATCAATTTCAAGGCTTAAAAAGACTTCTCCTGCTCCTCACCCCATACGAAAGGTACATCTTTCTTGATCAGTTTGGTCAAAGGAGCAGCAATTGAACTAAAGCCCTTCACAAATCGCCAATAAAAACTTACTAACCCATGAAAACTTCTTACCTCAGTTGCACTGGTTGGGGTCGGCCAAGTCTTGATGGACTCCACCTTCTCGTCATCAACCTCAATCCCATTTGCACTAACCACAAAACCCAAAAACACAACTTTATCAACACAGAATGAATATTTCTTGAAATTAGCAAAGAGACGCTCTCGTAGTAGGACATCAAACACTTGTTTCAACTGGGATATATGTTCCTCTATTTTCTTTCTATAAACAAGTATGTCATCAAAATACACCATAACAAACTTTTTGATGAAAGGTTTGAGAACACGGTTCGTCAATCTCATGAAAGTGCTTGGGGCATTCGTCAATCCAAATGGCATCACAAGCCATTCATACAGCCCAAACTTTGTCTTGAAGGCCGTCTTCCACTCATCACCCGGTTTCATACGAATTTGATGATACCCACTTCGAAGGTCAATCTTGGAGAAAATAATAGAACCACATAGCTCATCAAGCATATCATCAAGTCGAGGAATGGGATGTCGATACTTAACCATGATCTTATTTACGGCTCTACAATCAATACACATTCTCCAAGTGCCATCCTTTTTGCGAACAAGAATTACCGGTATGGCACAAGGACTTAGGCTTTCTTTGATCAACCCCTTCTCAAGAAGCTCTTCCACTTGCCTTGATAGCTCTTTTGTTTCTGCAGGGTTACTCCTATAAGCTGGACGATTGGGGATTTGTGAACCCGGTATAAAATCTATTTGGTGCTCGATTCCCCTCAAGGGTGGTAATCCAACGGGCATCTCATCCGGAAATAGCTCATCATAGCCCTGCAAAAGAGAAGAAATAATACTAGGCAAAGTGCTAGTATCTTGGTTAGCATGTAACAAAAGGTTGGTGTTGACAAGGCACACTAGAAAGCATTCCTCATCCACACCCTTTAAACACTTGCTTGGCTTTGCTATCATGCACATGTTCTTATTATTTTTAATCAAGGCACTCCCCTCCTTTGGAACGATGGTGGAACTTTCACCTTCACCTTTTGTCGCCTCGTCTTTTATTCTCTCCTGAAGCTCCTTCATAGCCCGATAGTCCTCACTCACTTGATATGGAGTGAGAGGTGCAAGCACATACTTTTTACCTTCAATCACAAAAGTGTATTTGTTGGATCTCCCTTGGTGCACAACATCTCTATCAAATTGCCAAGGTCTCCCCAACAGTAGGTGACATGCCAACATGGGAACCACATCACAAACCAATTCTTCATTGTACTTTCCCACACTAAACCGAATACTTGCTTGTTTGAGGACCTTCATCTCTCCACTCTCGTTGAGCCATTGTAGCTTATCAGGATTGGGATGCTTGCTGGTTTGTACTTTCATACGCTCCACCAAGGAACTACTCACCATATTGGTGCAACTCCCGCTATCAATGATTAAAGAACACACTTTATCTTGGATTTTGCACCTAGCATGAAATAGATTCTCCCTTTGGTCAAGTTCTTCTTTTGCAAGGGCTCCCATAATTCTTCTCACAACACATGAAAGATTGACATTCATGATCAAGTCTTCATCATCATCAAGCAAAGACTTTCCCTTCTTCATGAAGCAAGCAAAATTCACCCTCTCGTCCAACCTTTCTTCTTCATCCCCTGAAGCACCTTCCTCTCCTTCACCCCTATCTCCCTCTCCCTTATTTTTTTCTTCACCCTCATCTTCATCTTCATCTTCAGTCTTATATCCATCACGAAGAGCAACAATTGTTCTCCTATTTGGACACTCACTAGCAACATGTCCCCTCCCTTGGCATCTAAAGCATTGAATTGTAGAGGGTCGAGGAAAGTTAGGTTTAACATAGTTACCTCCTTGTGGTTGCTCACTTGCCTTGGATTTGTAAACAAGCTTGACTTGGGCAAACTTGACCTCCACCTTTAGGTTGCTCCCTAGAGGATGTCGTCTTCCAATTATCTCTACCTTTGCTCCATGTGGAAGTTAAAGAACTTTTGGCCTTGTATGACTTTTCTTCTTTCAAATCTGCTTCTACCTTTGAGGCATCATGGAAAGCCGCTTCAAGAGTCTCATAGAGCTTAAGCTTCAAAGGCTTCAAGATATCATACCTCAAGTTTGCCACGAATCGTATCACCGTACATTCCATATTCTCTTCAATTTTAGACTTCATCTACAAGTTCTCAAACTCATCATAATATTCTTCCACATTTTTGGTACCTTGCCTCAACATGTACACCTTCTTGATCACCTATTGGTAGTAGTTTGGAGTCAAGTATCTCAACTCCATAAGTGCAATCAACTCTTGCCAAGTAGGTAACTCGTAGTTATAATGGCTATCCCTTTCCCTCCTCTTGGAATCCCACCAGGTTGATACGTACCCCTCAAATTGCGTGAGAGCATACTTCGCCTTCAAAGTTTCTGAGATATTATTTGTGAGAAAGATCCGCTCACTTTGAATTTTCCATTCCAAGAACTTATCGGGGTCACTACTTCCTTTGAACCTTGGAAGTGTGACCTTGATAGTGTTCAAGCCCCTATCTTGATGATCATTCCTCTCCCTAAACCTATTTCCTCTATTTCTCATCCTATCGCCTCTATATCCCATCCTTTCTCCTCTATATCCCATTTTATCTCCTCTATTCCCATATTCTTGATCTCTCATGCCTTGGTCCCACCCCAAGTCCTGAGGTCGTACTCTTTCCCTTGGTACTCCATTTCCATCCCTACCCTTAAGGTCCCAAAACTCATCATTATTGAACTCCTCATGAATTTCATCATAGAGAGGATTTTGGTATTGGTAGTCTTGGTAGGGCATTTGTGGTGCATTTTGTGGATGTGATGTGGGTTCATGAAAAGATGCATTGGAATCATTTCGAAATGGTGTTTGGTATTGGACATGGTTGGCCTCAAAAGGAAGATTCTCCTGTGGCGGGTGATAGGGTTGTGGATTTGTATGTGGCGTAGGCTGTCTTAGGTGGTTTGGAGGGTTGGGAGTTTGGAAAGTGGGGCGTGGTAGTTTCGGGTTCGGCTTTGTGGAGGAGAACATAGATTATGAGCTTGTCCCAGAGCAAGGGTGGTGGAATGCACCGATGCCCTCCTTATCTCCTCATATTCGGGTTGAATTGCTTTCCTTCTATTCTCATTTTCCACCCGTACCAACCTTTCCTCCATACCTCCCATCCTTCCATTCATTTCCGCTACTTGCTTAGAGATGTTGGCGAGAACCTCCATGATGTTCTCCGAGCTCTTCCCAATTGGACTATTAGACATGATACCTACAAAACTCAACAAACGAGATTAGTAGAAAAGCCTCACGTCACTCGTATGTAGCTCTCAACTCATCTTCTATGGGGTCGTCTCAAAATTGATAGTGAACTAGCTCCGTCTCAACTCACTTTGTTCTTTCTTCTTCTTCAAGAGCAAGTTGAAGACACCAAGAACACATAGAACACCAAGAACACACACTAAACCCCAATACACTCAAATCAACTCGAAATTGGCTCAAAATTTAGGATTTTCTTCCCTTCAACTAAGAGAACAAAGCCCACTAATTATTAACCTCCAATTTCTCCTCAATCAAAAGACCCATTTTCAAAATTTGAAAAGTTTGAAAAGCTTGAAACCCTTCAATGGTAACTTCACTTCTACAACTCCAAATTGAACAAAATTTGAAACCTAGACTCAAAAAACACTAGGGAACAAGGATCTAGTGTCAAAAACAATAAATCAAAACAGAAAAAAATTAAAAAAAATTCAGATTTTTTTTTTGACAATTTTTTTGGACTCTTTTTTAAACCAAGACTAGATTTGTAAGAACAAATCTAAACCAAGGCTCTTGATACCAAATGATAACGATCAAGGAAGGAAAGGAATAAAGAAAGAAAGCATATGTGGATTAATACTCAAATCATTGAAATTATGGGCAACAAGGGACTAAAACCCTCACTTCCCTTTTCATGAACATTGCTTGTAGTAGGCCTTGGATATCCTTTGCGTGACTCCGTGTGAATGGTCTTGAGGGGTATATGCCACTCATGTTAGTGTCATCCATTGTCACGCCTCAGATCTGATTAAGACGGACAGGCACCTGATGTCTAAATGGCCCGGGAGAACCAACTTACAACCTGTACTTACCATACATTTAACTATGATAACTATGAAGCTATGACAAGCTTATATGCCTTGTAGTGATAAAACACCGACATAGACAGGCCCAAAACTTATGTACAACACTTGGCCGTGGAGGCCACAATTGTTAAGAGACAAGACACAACCAAACTTTATACATTAGTCTACAAAGCCTCTACAAGATAGACAACCTTAGGTTAGGTCGGGACAAGGGCCCGCCTTATCCTTAACTACTATACGATAACAAAATAGATGCCAAAGACTCGATTAAGCCCCGAATCAACTTGGAGCTCACCATTAGCAGCTGAGTGTCCTGTGCTCCTACTGGGGAGGTCTACTAGCTGGAGTACCTGTGGCTGCAGCATGAAATGCAGCATCCCCCGAGAGGAACGTCAGTACGAAGAATGTACTGAATATGTAAGGCAATAACATATGTAAACAAGAGCTCAATTGAAATCAAGTATCAATATGTAACTGCATAGATTAGATTAAAGACCACCCTTGTTGCTGTTGCGGGATCATGTACATTATATTTTTTTCTGTAAATTTTCTTTACATTGTGATCTCTGTAAAGCATGTGATACAAATAACCAACTGATCAGTGGTAAAAGAGGATAACCCATGCTAGGAATTTTAACCCCTGAGATGCTGTCCTCAAATATATAAATTTGGGATCGACCCATGCTAGGCTTTTGCCCTTGGGCTGCCACCCTTACGCATATACCGCTTCATATAGTTTCTTTAATCTTTGAGATTGTTATTTTGGTGGTCATAATTATTTTTTAGCATCAGAATTGTGGATCAGTAGTAGGAAATATGTGAATATGCACTTAGGGCAATAACAATAACACAAGATGGAAATCTAACACTAATGAATTACATAAGAGCTCAAATGACACAATGGACCTCATTTGATTGACATGAGGAATCACAAAGCTACTGCTGGAAATTACCCTTTTCTTATACCAATACTTGGAAAAGTAAAGATGCACATATATTGAAGCAATTCGACACACTAAGGAGAGGGGAACTATTGTTAGCTGTGTTTGGGATTGTACGCTGCCACTAAGTGTCTTCTACTTGAAAGAGCACTTAGGAAGCTCACTTGCTGGTACTAACACAAGCAGAGTTCATGCCAAATAATATAGAATCGAATAGCCTTACATACCTTGCTGTACCACTCAAATAGTACAACGAATTAACCTCTTTCCCTTCCGATTATTAATCTACAATGAAATAAGTAACACAACTAATATTAGTAGCTAACCAACATATTGGGCTACTTAAACTTGGCAAACAATAATCAGGCAGCAAACCCATACTTATCAAACCGATGGTATGCATTCCACCCCTTCTCCTTTAATAACGTCATATACAATACGACCTTCTAAGAAGGTCCCCTAAAACTCCTCGGGCTTTATAACATATGCAAAAAAGTATATAAAGGGGTTGCAGGCAGCAAGCTCATGCAAAGCCCAATTAGATGGTACGTTACTGCACCCTTTACCGTTTTATCCTTTAACAAGTTCTCATGACTTCTGCACATGCCTCCTTATGTTACTATACACAAATCAGTTTCTAAACATCAGAATGTGGCAGTAGCAATATGAACTCACGATTTCCGACCACTGTCCCTTGAGCATCCAACTAACATTACATTTAAAATGCTCAAATGGGCTAACAATTGAGTTAAAGGGGACTCCCCTCCATGGCTGTCCCAACATGCACAATCAACCAGAACATTCCCCAATCTCACACCATGTAAAAGGAACAATTCTCAGCTCATTAACACATACCAAATCCCCTAACCGATTCAAGCACAAAAGAGGGATGAAAAAATTAACATATGGCAGTAGCCTTACCTTAAGGTGAAATCAGTTCCTCCTCTTGAATTTCTTAAGATGGGAGATGTTACACCAACTTGTACTTGAAAAATAAAGGGTTTTCTCAGATTTTTAATGGTGAACTTGCAGGCCAGCACTTTGGAGCTTCTAGGGTTTCTTTTTGGGAGTAAATTGTTGTAGAACAAGTGAGAGATATATGAAATGAATTTCATTCTCTTAAGGGTCCTTTATGGACGTTTTTACATTAAGAAAAATGTAGAAATATCTAGTCCCTCACTTTAAGTAAGCAGGTACATCACTCCCTTAATTTCTGCCACAAGTTCTTTAAGTAGCTGCATCACCTAGTTGCCCTTTTCTTTTAAATTGCAGTCCGCATTTTTCCTAAGTAGGTGCATCACCTACTTACCACTTATTTAAGTAGGTCAGCAGTTAATCTACCATTAAGAACATATGCCATCCTTTCTACGTAAGCTACACATGTACGTGAGCAACTTAATTACGTAAGATATTCGAATCAGTAGCTTAAGCAAGTAGGTTGATTACTATGACAAATTATACTTTACTTACTCCACTTAGCCTCAAGCCTCTTTCGAATATTGTCAAACCTATTTCAAACCTTCACTACTCACATAGAACTAGTATATGCAAAATATGGGACGTTACATCCATGCTGCCCTTGTTATCATCCTCCCCTTCTTGAAAATGATTCATCCTCGAATCCAAAGGATCACCTACAACACAAGGAGACAAATCACTAACATTGAAAACATTATGAACATTATACTCACTTGGTAGGTCAATCATGTAAGCATTGTCATTGATTCTCTTGGGTACTTTGAAGGGTCCATCCCCTTTTGGGCTTATCTTTCAAAAGACATAACGGAAATCTAAGTCTCACATGGCCATCTTAGACAAAAGTTTAAACAAGATAGGGTTACGGCCCTTTAGAATCAAAGGCTTAACAATAGTCTTAAAACATTAAGTCTATGTCCTTGCTCTATGAGGACATATGAAATGATGTCTTGAGAGAACTCTAATCCGAAGATTCACTAGTAAATGCAATCACTTGCCGGAACCTACACTTGTAGTATAAATAAGAATATATGGGTTAGTGCACAAAAAATGTACTAAGTATGATGACGATGAAAAAACATGTTTTGAAAGGGACATTTTGTTGAAAGTCATGCTTTATGCCATTTTAGTAAAAACTTCATGAACATTTATCAAAGAGGCATACTATAAGTCACAACCAACATACAAAGTCACCTATTTCACATTTAGTCAAATCATATATAAAACCCCTTTACCTTCACGTTGAGCCTTCACGTCAAGTTATCCTCAAGTTATACCTTTTACAATGTATGGTTAGCGTCCCATACCACCACCCACACTAAGGTACCACCTTAAGGTCACCAAAATTGAACTTACCATTCCTCTTCTCACCTTTACACAATAGGTCATATAAGACACATAAACATCACATGAATCACATCATCACATTAAAACCATCATCTAAGACAACCCTAAGTCATACTTGTGCAATGTTCAAATAGCATCCCATACTACTACTCACACTAAGTACTCCTTCGAAGTCACCATAGACAAGGCACATTCATATACAATAAGTCATGACAAGGAAGTACTGAAAATACAATCCAAGTATAGCATGCATCTTTACATTAGACATTTAAATCAACATACTTTATTAGATTCATTTAGGACACATTCATGCATTTAGAGGACTTTCATACATTTAACCAATAAGGCTTAGAGAACTTACTATAGCCCTTTCAAAGCCTACTTGTACAATGTATAGATAGCATCCCATACTACTGCCTACACTTTGTAGTACCTATCAAGAAACTAAAGTGCACATCTCAAATGATTGGAATAGGCATTATCCGACATAGACCATGAAAGCTAAATCATGGAATCCGATGTACTATCCCATATTGTAAGGGTTGTTCTACTTTCCAAGGGTAGAACTAGTAAGCATACTATGTAGACACATAGTTATGGGGCATGGAAGATGTTCATTGGACTCTCCTAACATTGGGAGAGCCACCATCTTAGCCATATCCACTCGGTGCTAAGCCTCCATTCTGATAGAGTAGTTCATTCAATACATTGTTGTACTTGAGAGGGCTACCACCATTAGGCCTACCGACCCAAAGTACTTTCCCAAGAAAGGGCCACCACCAATAGGCCTAGTGATTCAAGGTACATTTTGGATAGCTCTTGACTTCCTTAGAGAGAGCCACCACCATTAGGTCTACCATCTCTAAGTTTATCATTTCACAAAAGAAGGAGGCCACCACCATAGGTCTACCTCTTCAAGGTTATACATTCATATTAGGTTCTAGATTCATCATGAAGGGACACTAACAATAGGTCTACCGGTTCAAGACATTGTTTAAAATACCTCATTAGTCATTTATTGAAGGCTACCAACATTAGGTCTACCATCTAAGATATTCCTTCACTCATTTAAGAAAACACTACCAACCTTAGGTCTACCAATTCTAAGCCATCTACACATTCATTAGTCATTTATGGAAACAATGCCCTTAAGTCTATCCATTCATAATCATCAAGTCAAGACACATTCATCACTCATATATGAAAGGAATGCCATAGCCTATCGATTCATATTCATCAAGTCAAGACACATTCATTGTTCAAGAAAAGGATGCATAAGTCGACCAATTCTAGATTCAACATTACATTATAGAACCCTTTACATTCCATCATCAACATTCATGAGTGTTAATAGAGAGATAACGTTGAATCCTAAAACAATAAGCCTCTAAAAAAGATCGTTACTCTACGGTTGAAATCACATTGAAATCCTACACATTATACATTCACATGTACAATATCATGATAATACTTCAATTCCTCAAACTATGCCTTCAAGGCCATGATCATAATTTACATAGTAAGTAAACACCTCCACCTTTCAAGTGGATCAACAATTCAAGAACAATTCTACTTTAACAAGAAATTAGGTCAAACTTGCCCTTTCAAGGCTATGATCACAATTCCTCAATTCACCAACAATTCACCATAATAAGACATAGATGATGATACAATTTAATAATCTATATCAATCTAAGCATAAATCCACCATTATTCATTCAGAATCAATAGACCCGCTTCATAAGTCACAATTTAAAAATTGAGAGGAATCATGGGTTCATATATTTAAATCATCAATTAAACATCAACATAGTTATAATTTATCATTTTAAAACATTTGATGCAAGAACCTGTGAGTTTGAGTGAAATCTAGGTTTTTGAGAAACTTGAAGACTTTGAAAACTTCTTTGAAATTGACTCGAGGGTGAAATATAATCCTAGATTAAGGATCACCATAGCTTATACTTGAATAATCGCACGAAATAGAAGAAGAATCACCTTGAAACCCCAAACCCTAGCTTGATCTTGACCTTGATCTCCAATGGAGTTTCTAGAGAGAATATTTGTGGGAGGGAATTGTTTGATTTGAGAGGTGATGTCTAAATGAGGGATTCAATGTTTTAATGATCTTAAAATATGTTAATACACCTAAAATAACCGTCCATGCACTTTAAAAGACTAGGGGTGAATTTACCAATTCACCCCACCAATGCCGAACTAAAAAACCAGATTGCAGGTCCAATCCACGAGTTATCATCCACAGACCGTGGATGGATTGACGGGACCATACTGTGCTTTTGTGGTTTGGATCAGAGACCCTTCTTTGGGGATCTTCACCTACGGATGCCATCCACGGGGAGTGGATTGACCTATGGGGCGTGGACCCCTTCCGTAGGTCACCCCTTTTGGCCAACTTTGGTCATTTGGGGCAGTCTTGGGTTAGACTTATGGTCCTCCTCAAGGACCCCTTGGGTTGTCCTTGGGGAGTCGTTCCTTGACGTTTGACCCCTAAACCCCTTAACCCAAGCTCAGGATAACATACAACAACATCAAACCTCAAACCAACTCAAATGCATATACGTTAGGCTCTAGTTTCACTAGTTCATTTTTAGGGTTGTTACAGTACAACTCCCCAAGGAATAACCAAGGGTCCTTGATGAGGACCCTAAATTAGCCCCCAAATTCTTTTTTATGTACACTGTCCACACAAGGGTTTATGGCAGGTGAAAGCCTTCACTGCCCGTAAAGACACCTCATGAACCTTGCCTTCGCCGTGTAGGCAAGGAGGCAAGTCCACGTGACGGTTCACGAGGCGTGGAGGAATCCAATTCACATGAAAACCCCTCATGAAGCTTTCCTTAGCCTTGTAGGCAGGAAGGAATGTCCATGTGAGGGTTCACAATGCGTGGAGGACTCTACTGCCTGTGAAGAGCTTCTCGTGAAGACTACCTTAGCCACATAGGCAAGGAGAAGTTCATGCTAGGGACCACAGCACGTGGAAGCTTCCAGGGCTCGTGGTAGCCCTCATGGACCCTTCCCTTAGCTCTACCAGCCAAGGGCACAAGTCCACGTGAGGGACCACAGCGCGTGGAAGGGTGCACTCCCTGTGAAGACCCTCGTGGACTTTGCCTTAGGCGCGCATAGGCAGTCCACGTGGGGTGGTAAAATGGCCATTTTTGTAATTTCTAATTTTTAGTCCAATTAAAATGGATATATTTGATATCATTTTTAAATAACTATATAAGGTATTTTGAGTCAATATACCCCCAAACTAAATCGTTTTCACAAACACCCAAATCAACAGCACAAGTTCATCTTCCTCACAATATTTCTTTCTCTAGAACCCCATGAAGAAGAAGAGTAATTTTGAAGCTTGGGCTTAAAGAAATTAAGGGTTTTTCCTCAAATTCTTTGAAGAATCATCATTCAAGGTATGGTAGTCTTCATATGTGGGTAGACTTCTGATAACAACAAGGTTAAGGGAGATCACAAATAGAGAATTAAATATTAGAATGCGGAAGCACAAAGAAAAGAAACAAAAAAAACTAAATAAAGATATGGGAAATTCGAAGGAAAGATCCACGAATTTCCAAAGATTAGATGTTCTAAGGCCTTGAAAAGATCCAAGTAACAACGTATAGATTTATGGAAGAAATCTAACGCCTTTACTTGAGAAAACGAATCAAAACGATAGATTCGGATCTTGACCGCTTTATGAGTAACTAAAGACAATAATTAGTATGTAGAAACTAATCACCTTCTAAAGAATACCAAAAAGAAACCAAAGATATCACAAGAAAAAGTTACTTTATACCTTAAACTATGAAACTAGTAAAGGTTTAAAGATAAATTCTCAAAGAACAAGTCACAAAGGTTCAAAGAACTCTCTCAAATATTCTTAATATCAATCTAAATTGTCTTTAATGAATGAAAAGGACTCCTATATATAGGAGAAGGGAAAAACGTCCAAGAAGCCAAACCCTAAAAAAAAACAATTACAAGGAATCCTACTCTAGAAAGGAAATAAAGTAACCTAACTAGGAACAAATTTAGTACTTCTAGGAAAGCATTAAATGGTACTTAGGAGACCATAAATAGACTAAGGAAAATATTAATAACCTATATATAAATAAATAAATAAGGTAAATCCCAACTAGGAAAAGAATCTTGACAATCTTGGAAAGTTTGACTAGTCTTCTCTCAAAACTTGGGCAGAAAGCAACTCTTGTTGTGGCTGATTCTTGGACTCTTCTTGACCTTTTTTGCACGAAATTGGACCTTAAAATTCCTCATCTTGGGCTTGAATTTGGGCCACCAAATAATTGTAGCATTTGGACAATTCCTCTCCCTTGGGCTTGAGCTCTTCTTCCCCAATAAAAAACCTTTGGATCAGCGATTGAAGCCCATTGAGCTTATCATTGAACTCCTTGGTTTGAGATCTTGTTATGGGCCTCCTTGGAGTTTCTAAAGCGTCATCCTTGTCCTTCAATAGAGTAGAGCTTCCTTGGATGCTATCATTCCCCTCTTCTTGAAGAGAATTCGTCCTCGAATTCAAATCTGCATCAAAATGGGAAAGATCAGAAACATTAAAAGTAGCCCTAACTTGGAACTCACCAGGAAGATCAAGTTTATAAGCATTGTCTCCAATCCTTTCAAGGACTTTGTATGGCCCACTTCCTCTAGGATCTAGTTTGGTCTTTCTTTTGGAAGGAAATCTTTCCTTTCGCATATGCACCCAAACCAAGTCACCAGGTGATAGCATCCAAGGAAGCTCTACTCCATTGAAGGACAAGGATGACGCTTTAGAAACTCCAAGGAGGCCCATAACAAGATCTCAAACCAAGGAGTTCAATGATAAGCTCAATGGGCTTCAATCGCTGATCCAAAGGTTTCTTATTGGGGAAGAAGAGCTCAAGCCCAAGGGAGAGGAATTGTCCAAATGCTACAATTATTTGGTGGCCCAAATTCAAGCCCAAGATGAGGAATTTTAAGGTCCAATTTCGTGCAAAAAAGGTCAAGAAGAGTCCAAGAATCAGCCACAACAAGAGTTGCTTTCTGCCCAAGTTTTGAGAGAAGACTAGTCAAACTTTCCAAGATTGTCAAGATTCTTTTCCTAGTTGGGATTTACCTTATTTATTTATTTATATATAGGTTATTAATATTTCCCTTAGTCCATTTATGGTCTCCTAAGTACCATTTAATGCTTTCCTAGAAGTACTAAATGTGTTCCTAGTTAGGTTACTTTATTTCCTTTCTAGAGTAGGATTCCTTGTAATTGTTTTTTTTAGGGTTTGGCTTCTTGGACGTTTTTCCCTTCTCCTATATATAGGAGTCCTTTTCATTCATTAAAGACAATTTAGATTGATATTAAGAATATTTGAGAGAGTTCTTTGAACCTTTGTGACTTGTTCTTTGAGAATTTATCTTTAAACCTTTACTAGTTTCATAGTTTAAGGTATAAAGTAACTTCTTCTTGTGATATCTTTGGTTTCTTTTTGGTATTCTTTAGAAGGTGATTAGTTTCTACATACTAATTATTGTCTTTAGTTACTCATAAAGCGGTCAAGATCCGAATCTATCGTTTTGATTCGTTTTCTCAAGTAAAGGCGTTAGATTTCTTCCATAAATATATACGTTGTTACTTGGATCTTTTCAAGGCCTTAGAACATCTAATCTTTGGAAATTCGTGGATCTTTCCTTTGAATTTCCCATATCTTTATTTAGTTTTTTTTGTTTCTTTTCTTTGTGCTTCCGCATTCTAATATTTAATTCTCTATTTGTGATCTCCCTTAACCTTGTTGTTATCACCAGGTTTAAAAACAACATATTTTCTGCCCTTATTCCTTCGCAATGCAACTTCCTTGTTCTTCTTTTCAATTGCAAGCCTTGTTTGTTCATGAATTTTCTTCATCATATCAGCCTTCTTCTTACCATCAAGATTAGCAAAATCATTAGTAGGCAAAGGCAATAAATCAAGGGGGGTAAGGGGGTTGAATCCATATACAACTTCAAAAGGAGTCTTACCAGTAGAAGAATGGAAGGTCCTATTATAAGCAAATTCTACAATAGGTAAGTAATCTTCCCAAGAAGTCAACTTTCCTTTCAAAATAGCCCTCAACATGTTCCCTAAAGTTCTATTAACCACTTCCGTTTGCCCGTCCGTTTGTGGGTGACAAGATGTAGAAAATAGCAATTTAGTTCCCAACTTTCCCCAAAGAATTCTCCAAAAGTGACTTAAGAACTTGGCATCCCTATCGCTAACAATAGTTCTAGGTATTCCATGCAATTTAACCACTTCCTTTACAAACAAGTCAGCCACATGAGATGCATCATTAGTCTTTTTACATGGGATAAAACGAGCCATTTTAGAAAATCTATCTACTACCACAAATATACTATCCTTACCATACTTAGTCCTTGGCAGCCCCAATATGAAATCCATAGAAATATCAATCCAAGGGGAATTAGAAACAGGTAAAGGAGTATAAAGACCATGCGACAATGTTCTAGACTTAGCCTGTTTACATTCAAGACAATAAGAACACACTTTTTCAACATCCTTTCTCATGCTAGGCCAATAAAAATGTTCAGAAAGTATTTCCAGTGTTTTGGGTACACCAAAATGTCCCATTAGCCCTCCACAATGTGCTTCCCTAACAAATAGTTCACGCAACGAGCAGTTAGGAACACATAATTTATTTTCCTTGAATAGAAATTCATCTTGAAGATTAAATTTCTCAAAAGGACCTAACTTACATTCAGCAAAAATCTCACCAAAATCAGAATCATTAGCATAGAGGAACTTGATTTGGTCAAAACCCAATAACTTTGAAGTAAGAGTAGAGATCAAAACATACCTTCTTGAGAGTGCATCAGCAACCACATTCTCCTTTCCTTGTTTGTAAGCAATTACATAAGGAAAAGTTTCAATAAACTCTACCCATTTAGCATGCCTACGACTAAGTTTACCTTGGCTCTTCAAGTATTTTAATGACTCATGATCAGTCTTGACCACAAATTCTCGAGGCCACAAGTAGTGCTGCCATGTAGCTAACGCCCTCACCAAGGCATATAGCTCTTTATCATAAGTTGAGTAGTTCAATGTTGCTCCACTTAGCTTTTCACTAAAGTAGGCAATTGGCTTGGAGTCTTGCATCAAAACTGCACCTATGCCCTTACCAGAGGCATCACACTCAACTTCAAAAGACTTAGAAAAATCAGGCAATTGCAAAAGAGGCGCAGAACACAATTTATCCTTCAGCAAGTTAAATGCATCATCTTGTTCCTTTCCCCATGTAAAAACCTTATCTTTTTTTATAACTTCAGTTAAAGGAGCAGCAATGGTGCTAAAGTCTCGCACAAACCTCCTATAAAAACTAGCAAGTCCATGAAAACTCCTAACTTCAGTTACACTATTAGGTTTAGGCCATTCTTTTATTGCCTTGATTTTCTCATCATCTACTTCAACTCCCTTAGAACTGACCACAAACCCTAAGAAAACCACACGATCCACACAGAAAGTACACTTTTTGAGATTAGCAAATAAGCGCTGATTTCTAAGAACTTCAAAAACTTGTTTTAAGTGCTCTAGGTGTTCATCCAGATTTTGAGAAAAGATCAAGATGTCATCAAAATACACCACAATAAATTTTCCATGGAAATCTTTAAAAACATGATTCATTAGTCTCATAAAAGTGCTTGGTGCATTAGTCAAGCCAAAGGGCATAACTAACCACTCATAAAGTCCATATTTGGTCTTAAAAGCAGTTTTCCATTCATCTCCAGGATTCATACGAATCTGATGGTAACCACTCTTTAGATCAATTTTAGAAAAGATTTTGGAACCATACAGTTGGTCCAACATGTCATCAAGACGAGGGATAGGATGGCGATACTTTACCGTTATCTTGTTGATGGCTCGACAATCTACACACATCCTCCATGTTCCATCCTTTTTGGGGACCAATAGGACTGGAACAGAGCATGGGCTCATACTCTCTCGAACAAATCCCTTTACAAGCAATTCTTCAACTTGCCGTTGTAATTCTTTGGTCTCTTCAGGATTGCTCCTATAGGCAGGCCTATTAGGAAGTTGAGACCCAGGCACAAAGTCTATTTGGTGCTCAATCCCTCTCAAAGGTGGCAATCCCTTTGGAGTGTCATCAGGAAAAACATCTTCAAAATTCTGCAAAAGAGAAGAAACACTATTTGGCAAAGAAGGAGTTAGTTGTTCAAAATTAATCAATACTTCTTTGTAAGTAAGTAGTATTATGGGCAGTCCCTCTCTCCTAGCATTCAAACACTCTTTGGCTTTTATATAAAGGCTCTCATTTTTCTTTTCCTTAGCCTCTTTCCTCTCACCAAAACATTTTATTTTTTTACTCACACCCTCTTTTACCTCTTTACTTAGATCGCTGCCCTCTCTCTCTTTCTCTCGGCCATCTCTCTTTTTTTCTATCTCTTGGCCTTTTTCTTTTCCCTCAAGCTCACTTTTTACCTCTCCCTTTTGTTTTCCCATTGTTTCCCTCAATCGTTTTTGATCTTCAAACACTTGAGAAGGAGATAATGGTGCAAGAGTATACTTCTTACCATTATGCAGAAGACTATACCTATTCTTTCTCCCATGATGAGTAGTATCCCTATCATACTGCCAAGGTCGGCCAAGTAAAACATGACATGCTTGCATTGGAACTACATCACAAAGAATCTCATCTTCATACCTACCAACATTGAATGAAATCATGCATTGTTTGTTTACTTTTACTTCTCCACAATCATTCAACCATTGGAGCCTATATGGGGTAGAGCGCTTCATGCATGCAATTCCTAGTTTATCCACCAAGTATGAACTCACCACATTTGCACAACTTCCCCCATCAATAATCATAGAATAAGTCTTCCCTTTTATCCCACACCTAGTATGAAACAAATTCTCTCTCTGCCCTTCATCAACACTACCCAAATTGATAGTCATAATTCTCCTAACCACCCCAATTATACCATCATTAGGCAGTTCCAAATCATCTTCCTCACTTACACCTTCTCCCTCTTCTTCTTCCCCCTCACTTTTTTCACTCTCATATTCTCCATTCTCTCTAAGTAGGATGTTTCTTCTACTTGGACATTCATGCATCATATGCCCCCTTCCATGACATTTGTGACATTGAATAGAACTTGAAGGTTTAGAAGATTTAGGATTAAAGGTTTTACCTCCCTCCTCAACCTTACCTTTACCTCTATCATCTTGAGGTTTGGAAGGAGCTTTCCCCTCTTGAGTTGACCATGGCTTCTTAGAGATAGTGTTTGGTCGACTTCTCCATGAGTTATTTTGCTGCTTTTTCTCAATTTGTTTTTCAACTTTTACAGACAAATCAACTAACTCATCTAAAGTTACATATTGTTGTATCTCTACTACATTAGCTATTTCTGTATTTAAACCATTTAAAAATCTAGCTATTGTAGCCTCTTCTTCCTCCATGCAGTTAGCTTGGATCATAGCCATATCCATGCTTTTGAAGTACTCATCCACCGACATGGAGCCTTGCTTCAAGCGTTGAAGGCGAGATTGTAGATCTCTTTGGAAGTATGATGGAATAAATCGCTTCCTCATTACCCTCTTCATCTCTGCCCACGTAGCAATAGGTGGTAGCTCCTCTTGCAATCTGTCCCTAGCAAGCTTTTTCCACCAAGAAGCAGCATAATCAGAAAACTCAACAATAGCAAGTTTAACTTTCTTACCCTCAGAGTAGTTATGGCAATCAAAGATGGCTTCAACTCGTCTCTCCCAATCAAGGTACAAGTCTGGATCCCTTGTCCCCTTGAAAGATGGCATCTTCATCTTTATACTATTTATATTATCATCTTCTACTCTACCTCTTTGTCCCCTCCTATCTCTTCTTTCTAGATTAAATTCAACATCAAAATCATCATTATCATATTCAGGATTTACAAAAGGGATATGGGGTACATTCCTTCTAACTTGGGGTCTAACATTATTTGGGGGTACAACATTATTCTCCCTCCTAATTGCAGCTATGGTGTCATTCTGCTCGATAATCATATCCCTCATCTCTTGAAATTGAAGGGTCCATCTCTCAAATTGTTGGTGCATAGCTTGAAGGGTGAAGTCGTTCCTTCCTTTGACCTCGGTTTCTAAACGAGCCCTTTCCTCATCACCACCTGAATTAGACATCTAAAAAAAAAAAAGAATAAATGATCAAGTATCACACTTTTAATATGGCTTTTACCCTCTTTTAAACTCACCCACACTTGCCTTTTTCCACAAAAAATCACCTTTGAACGAGAATACTTTGTAGATTTATAATTAAACCAAAACGTGTATCAAGTTCGTAGTAATAAAGTATGGAATCTTGGGGTACAAAAGAAAGTAAAGAACTAGTCCTAGAACAAGTAGGATTTAGTTGAAACAAAACGCGAATAAAAAGGGACTTATTTTAGAATTATAAGAACAAGAAAAAAAAAAAATTCCTCTTATTCTTAAAGGTCTAGAATCCCCTCTTCTTGCTACCTTCTTGCTTGGAAACAAATTAATGCAAAACTTGGAGTGCAAGTAATAAGTTTACTTGGAGAGCAAGTAATAAGATTTCTTGAATAGCAAGTAATAAGCTTTCTTGGGTATCAAGTAATCAAATTTCTTGGAGGACAAGTAATCAGATTTCTTTGAGAGCAAGTTATAACTTTTTTTTTTCTGTTCACGCAACTGTAATAATTTTATTTTTTATTTTTTTTTTTTTTTTTTTGTTGTTGCTCTAAGAAGAAATCCCAAGATTTATCAAGAACGGAATCTTGATAGAACCGCTCTGATACCACTTGATAACAACAAGGTTAAGGGAGATCACAAATAGAGAATTAAATATTAGAATGCGGAAGCACAAAGAAAAGAAACAAAAAAAACTAAATAAAGATATGGGAAATTCGAAGGAAAGATCCACGAATTTCCAAAGATTAGATGTTCTAAGGCCTTGAAAAGATCCAAGTAACAACGTATAGATTTATGGAAGAAATCTAACGCCTTTACTTGAGAAAACGAATCAAAACGATAGATTCGGATCTTGACCGCTTTATGAGTAACTAAAGACAATAATTAGTATGTAGAAACTAATCACCTTCTAAAGAATACCAAAAAGAAACCAAAGATATCACAAGAAGAAGTTACTTTATACCTTAAACTATGAAACTAGTAAAGGTTTAAAGATAAATTCTCAAAGAACAAGTCACAAAGGTTCAAAGAACTCTCTCAAATATTCTTAATATCAATCTAAATTGTCTTTAATGAATGAAAAGGACTCCTATATATAGGAGAAGGGAAAAACGTCCAAGAAGCCAAACCCTAAAAAAAACAATTACAAGGAATCCTACTCTAGAAAGGAAATAAAGTAACCTAACTAGGAACAAATTTAGTACTTCTAGGAAAGCATTAAATGGTACTTAGGAGACCATAAATAGACTAAGGAAAATATTAATAACCTATATATAAATAAATAAATAAGGTAAATCCCAACTAGGAAAAGAATCTTGACAATCTTGGAAAGTTTGACTAGTCTTCTCTCAAAACTTGGGCAGAAAGCAACTCTTGTTGTGGCTGATTCTTGGACTCTTCTTGACCTTTTTTGCACGAAATTGGACCTTAAAATTCCTCATCTTGGGCTTGAATTTGGGCCACCAAATAATTGTAGCATTTGGACAATTCCTCTCCCTTGGGCTTGAGCTCTTCTTCCCCAATAAGAAACCTTTGGATCAGCGATTGAAGCCCATTGAGCTTATCATTGAACTCCTTGGTTTGAGATCTTGTTATGGGCCTCCTTGGAGTTTCTAAAGCGTCATCCTTGTCCTTCAATGGAGTAGAGCTTCCTTGGATGCTATCAACTTCCCCATAGAGTCCCTTCAACATTAGATGTCAAATCTTACAACTTCCCCAAAAGTTAGGGTTTTCTACTCACATCATGGTTCCTTTCAAAAACGTTTTCAATTGTTGAATTATGTTGGGTTATGATTGAATTGATGATTTAACATTGATTTATGGTGTAATTTTCCGAAGAACCCATGAATTCCTCATATTGCTAAATTGTGATCTTGTAATGTGAGTGATTGATTATAGAAGCATGTAAATAGATCTTGTTTAGATTGATTGAATTAATTGAAATATGTTGTTACCCATATTTAATGTATAAATTGTAGGTGTTGGGTGGAATGTGATTCATGATTCTTGAAGAGCAAGTTATGAGAAATGTACATGAATATAAGAATTATGCATGTTCTTTAAAATTTACTTTGAGAATGAAGATTCTATAACTATGTTGTAATTGTGGTATTGAGTGAAAGGTTATTCTCCCCTATACCATTACACATGATTATGCATGGACTATCCATGACTATGATGATCTTGTTGTGTTGATTGAAAGGCTATTCTCATGATGTGAAAGGTTTTCTCACATAATAATGATTCTATGTTTGAAAGAATATTCTCACCTATTGTATCTATTAGCTATAATGATACCTTGTTGGTTTGAGTCCCAGGGCATTCTTCCATTAACATGAGCCTAAGTAAAGGATAAACATTAATAAAAGGCAATTATGTTTAACACCGAGTGAATATGAAAATGAGATGAAAGATTTTACATCAGTTAGTCTGAATTTCCAAATGGTACCTTTTACGTCAGTTAGTCTGGGTTCCCAAAACAGTTTTCTCATGAGATGGAAACCTTATACGTCAGTTAGTTCGGGTTTCTAGAATTAATCTCCTTATCCCGTAACTATGTGCCCACATAGGTCTTTAGCTAGTGGATCCACCTAGGCTATCAATCATGAGTTCTACCTTAGGCAAGTAGGACACCTCTTTTTGGTGTGGGGGCATGATATCGGATTCCATGTAGCTCACATGGTCTATGTCGGTTAAGGCTATATTTCCCAACATGATAAGAATATGAACTATGACAAGAACATGAACATCAACGATGACTTATGACTTCTCAAGAAATTCTACTTAATGTGAGTGGGGGTATGGGACTTCATTCATGCGTGCACAAGTAGACTTTGAGAGGTGTTGTGGTGTGATTCTTGTATGCTATGAGTATACATGAATTGTGTATGCTTAGTGTGGATTGTTGCTAGGAGTGACATTCTTTGACATGAATTTATGAATATGAAGGTATCCTTGTCTATAAGTATTGTCTATGATGAGGACCAAGTTATGGTAAGCATAATTATGGTGGCCTAAAGTGGTACTTAGTATTAGATAGGATTATGGGATCTTATCTATGCATTGCACAAGTATAGCTTAGGGTTACTTATGTGATGGTTTCACTTATGTTGTACACTAATGTGCATGATGACTTTTAAACTTGATAAAGTGCATGCTTTCAACTGAAATGTCCCTTTTTGGATCTTTTCAATGATTTTATGCATGGCTATCATACTTGGTGCATTTTTGTACTCAATGATTTTATGCATGGCTATCATACTTGGTGCATTTTTGTACTAACCCTTATTTTCTACATTTTCTATAATTGTAGGTCCCGGTTGTTGAAGTTGCTTCTCCTAGTGTTCAAGCTTGGATTGATATAATTCAATCATTAGAAATGTTTTTGAAAGGAACCCATGGTATTGAAGACAAACCCTATCTTTTGGGAATTCTAGCTTTGAAATTGGGGGTTTAGGAGGGGCTACATGGATGAATTATATCCATGGATGAATTCTATCCATACCTTGATGAAGAATTCACACAAATTTGAGGAGAAACGCTTGATTCTTCAACCCTAGCTTCCACTTTTTTGTTCTTCTTTCTTGGAGTTCTAGAGAGAGAATATTTTTTGGGAAAGTTGGTTATTGATTTAGGTTTTTGGGATGTTATGAGGTGAATGGTTGGTTAATGACTTAAAAAAAATGACCTCACCTAACATTAACGTAAAAAGTAATTACCTAAACTACCCCTAGATTAACCGAGAATGGGACATCTCACAGTCCCCCTCCATAAGCCACCACTTACGGGGCGTGGACTGACCCACGACCCATAGTGATGGGGCATGGGTTGGGTCTACAGATCCTAATCTTGTCCCTTGAACCACGAGACCAGACCACAAGGCGTGGACCCACCCACGGGATGTTGGTCCTTCCATAGGTCAAGGTCTTGGGCTCAATTTGGGTACAAGGTTTGGGTCCTCCTCAAGGACCCTTGGTTAGTTCTTGTGGGGGTCGTACCTTAATGTTAAAGCCCTAACACTTCATTCTAAGTATGAGAAGCAAATTTTACGACCCTAACCTTTGCGACAAGTTCTAGTTAAGCCTACTAGTTTTCGGGATGTTACATTATCTCCCCCTTGGGAACATTCTTCCTCGAATGACGATCTAGACACCTTACGGAATTCAAGATTCGAGACTAGCAGCCCATCATGCATGCAACATTAAAATAATGCACAGTTCAAAAGGGGAAACATCAACTCTATCTCAATATACTCTATGCAACAGAAGTAAGTAGGAACTACATCTAACAAACCATTACGCACGAAAACTCAACATTTCACATATTCATAGGAGGAACTACCTTCTCCAACCTAAAGCATGCTCAAATTAATAACATGAAGCCAACTATGCAATTACTCTCAAAAGCATACTAAAGAATGTTCGACAATTCATCTCAGGAAGCATATAGGCAACTCATAATAAATGCACAACAACATGAGGAGCATATAAATCATGAAATTCCATTTTCTTACTAATCATGAA